ATTAAATTACATTCTTTTAATTATCACCTTGCAAAGCTTTGGGAGATGTTGACATCCCCAGAACATGGAGAATAAAACCATTATTTTACATTTCTCATCATCCTTTATATCAATGTTCATCACTCTCTGAAATGAAAAAATACATTCAAGACTAAAGGCCACCTGAAAACTACCATATATAAAAATAATAGAAATACTGAAGGAGCAGATGAGGCTTTCTAAGGGATTAATGTAACTCATAGAAAGAGAAGATTACTAATCATTACCTTGCAATAAAGTTATAACATTCTGTGTCTCAGGGCCATTTTACACTGGTCTACTGCTTTCACTGTCACATGATAATTACAAGGAGAACTAATAGAATGAAAGAGATGACTATGCATGTTTTAAACTATGACCTCTTAATATGAAATATACTGTACATATATATAAATATACACACACCTGTAATTCCTCTCCCTCTCTTTCTCTCCACACTTATAATTCTGATCTAGCACCATTTGCCTACTATATGCCCAAGCTAAGACTGCCTCCCTCTAGATATGACAGACATTAGAATGTTGCAGGGGTGGCCCATGAACTTCCCATGGGCACCCTGAGATTAGTCAGATTCTGATAACAGCTCACTTTCTGGTATACATACAATCATAGAATGGTTTGGGTTGGAAGGGACCTTAAAGATCATCTAGTTCCAACCCCCTGCCACGGGCAGGGACACCCTCCACTAGGTCAGGTTGGTCATATAGAGAGAGCAGACCAGTATCTTAGATTAAATGTGACACTCTAAGACAGCAAAAAATGAGATGAACTGAACTGCACCCAGGCCTTTTTCCAAGCTCTGTACTAACATGGGTGTTTCTATCTAAAAGAGGAAAAACAGAAAACAAACATTACATTAGTATCTATTTTGCTGTGGTTCACACGTGATTACGTAAAGGATCCTCTCCTATCTATTTGGATAATATCAGAATACTCCAATACCTGATGGATCAGTAGGCTACCCACCACGCTAGAAATTGGTAAAGTATCTATCACTACAAAGGCTTCAGCTGGCCTAATCTTCCAATGCATTTAAATATAAGCTGTGTGAAGCACATTTAAAAGATAAACCAAAAAGCAAACCCATGCATTTTACAGACTTGAAAGAAGATTGTATCCTCAAAGCACTGCCTGCCTTAGCTACAGATCAGCTCAAGTAGCAGTAAACAAACAGTAGTTTCAAAGGAAAGAATCCATACCATTTCAGTAGACGATATAGATCGTACGCCTTCTAATATACCTGCAAATTGGATCTTATTCCCAACAGAGGTAGAGAAACTAAGGCACAACAAAGCTCATACACAAGCAAATTTAACTCGCTTACTGTTGGCTTAATATCCTATAAGGTTATTCCATGACTTCTAGCTTTTCCAAACTGTGGGCAGTGAAATGGCCACCCAGGGACAGTCAGCACAAGTTCTGTATTTCCCATCAAACTGCATGCCCACATGCATCTGTGGCAGCAAGTCTCTGGCACATGCTTTGGAGTTTTGCAGATACAGACAGTAGACAGACGGAAATGCTATTGCTAATCAGAACTGTGATGCGCCACTGAGAAGATGTGAATTGCGCTGGAAGGGCAAGAGAGAAATCCAGATTCTCTTTCCCCACTGGGGGAGGTGGGGAAAACCCAAAACAAAAGACACAAAAAAAAACCCTTAAAAACAAACACACAAAAACCCCAAACCACAGAAAAAAGCAAAAAAATACTTGGAAGGTGTTGAAAATATTCCACATGTGGCAGGTTGTGAAGGAGGATTAGCAATTAGTAAACAGAGAAACGAACTTATGCATCAGGCAACAAGCTACGGAAGAAAGAAACAACCTTTTTAGAAATCCAATATGTTCCTGAAACCCAGAAAACACCAATGGGTTTTAGCATTATTTCACTTGTATTTACAGCTAAGGTCAGAGGAGATCAGAAGCAGAACAAGATGAGACTTTGGGGTGAACTCGTCTGCCACAGAACAGCTGTTTAACAGGACATGACCCTACCTTCAGTGATGGATCCTCATCTAGAGGGGGTAAATTGTCACAGTTCCTGTGATGGTTTAGGACCTTTCAGGATCTGAAGGGAATTTGAGTGAGCAGGAGTATACCTGAGGTTTGCAGAAAATTGATTGCCTCTGGACAGATTATATTGAGGGCATGTCTAGACCTAGCTAGTTCTTTATATGTATCTTGAGATGATATTGATTTTGATTCATCCACATGTCTTTAATTTCAAATATACCCATTTTCAGTCATGACAGACACAATCTTGTTCCACTTACCTGATGTGATCATGTACACACTGTCCCAGCTGTGTCTTCTATCAACTTACTGTTCTGCCCTGCCACTGTCACAATTCCCCTCTGTTGCATCAAATGCAAACTACCTACCTTTGTTTGTCATGGCATATTTCCAACCTATCTACCTGTTATGACTCTGGCATTTGCCCTGTCAAAAATATCAAACTCCTCTGGCCATAGCCCTATATTTTTCTAACAAGCACATTATTGCTTTCTTCCATGTCACTCCTTCGATGCCTCCGAGCATTCAATTTCTTCCTCTTTTTAATCTCTACCTTATGACTTTTTGCCTACAAGAAAGCTTAGCAATAATTATGAACCTGGTAGGCTGAAACTGCCACCTACGATGATGATGACGACTTTCTGGCACTCCACCACTCTCTTTCCCCTTAGAAACTTAACTGCAAACTCTCTGGAGCAGGATTGTCTGTACTGTTAGCTGTTCCTCACAGTAGAATCCAGTGTGGTCCATGAATATTTGCAAGAAACTAGTAAGATTGCTTATGTGTCATCAACAAAATGTATTTCAACACTTTACAGATGATGACAGTAAGTTCAAGACAACATATCTTCGGATCTCAGTTCTTAAAACGGTAAGGTTTCCCTGTCTGAGCTAATAAAACATAAATCGATTAATTCTGGTTTGCAGATGTGTGTGGTGCAGTTCTTCCTAAAAACACTCTAAGGAATGGGTACTTTCACATTGCTCGACCAGTGGTACTCACACCTTACAAACACCACACCGAAAAGAGGCAAAAAATACACTGATGAAACTCAGGCAATAAAAAGAAATCCAGCTGACAATGAAACTATTCACACTGTTTCACTTACTGCAGATTGCCAGTTAAATCTTTCCACTGTTGCTGCATGGACTAGGGTCTGAAGGGTAGTTTAATAAAAGAAATAGCCTCTCCAAAGTGGTACAAGTTCAATTTCAGGCCTGTCAGCCTGAGTGTTCTAGTAAAAATCAAAATCTGTTGATATAATGTTTCAAACCTTCAGAAATTAGACGTTTTACACTGTGATAGGACTACACTGAATTACACAATTGGAAGGGTTGCCTGTACATTGAGGATATTCTGGAGTTATGCCGTATCAGATCAGCAGCTTTCATTCACCTGCTACAAGGTACTCCTGTACGTCAACCACTATCAGCTGAAAGAGATAACGTCTCTTGTTCTGCAGGTTTCTTATCAACACTTTGCATTTGCCCACCGGCTTTGAAATGGTTTCATGGCACATTTCAAGCACATGAATGCATTTCTCTAGACTAATGCTGCTGTTTATCAGCGTTGCTTGGCTTACAGGGCAGCTGGCTCTACAATCTAGCTGGAATCAAATTAGCTGTTGATAATGTGGTTGTAAATCAGCTGAGCAGCTGAATAGCTGTATATTACACATGTGTGCAGCTTGATCTGCTGGAAAGTCTTAACACAAGATCTTCCCAATAAACTTTTTGGAGTAGTATTTCCATCACTCAACCTTAAATAACTGCAGCTACATATGTGCCTTTGAGAGTGCAGACATGAGTTCACAGAAGCAGGAGGCTTCACTACAACAGCACATATGTAGCCTAGAGATTAGCATGCCTAATCGCCTTTGACGGTCAATAACAACAGGCCTCTTCCTTCCCCAAGAAGCCTCTTCCCTTCTCACCCATCGATTTGGCCATCTAGTTTTGTACCAACCATCAGCTGGTATAAATACTCTGCTACGGCCTCAATCACTGTGTATACTCTGGCTTGGGTTTGGAGGTTTTGAAGAGGGGTGATGCCTTTTGGAACAACAAAAATATTGGACAAAAAATAAACTGTCTTTTCAAAACTATCAACTCAGCATTTTTCTTCCCATCTTTCGTCTGGCTTGGCATGATTTCTGCACCAAACCCTTAGCTTCCTTTGTGCTTACAATGCAGAGTTCAGGTGACACATCTATGAACACATCTCTCAACAGCTTCTCCTGTCAGCTGCAGACCCCACACCACAAATTACTTCACTGTTAATTAGCAAACCATTAAAGTCTCCAGAATTACAGTAAGGTTGCCAATATTCTCAGCTTCAAACCACTAAGTACCATTTCTTCTCTTCTGCTTTTTGCTTTAACAGGGAAATAAATGCATCTCTTGCCAATCTCATCCTATCTGCGGTGTGAGTGCTCATCAAACAACTAGAGTGGTTACAGTTGTATTACGGGAATTGTTGTTTTTACTCATTTTTTTCCTCAGTTTCCAATGACAGAACAGGAAGTTTACCTTAATTTTCTAACTGTTCTCCCTTTTAGTTAGCTGTATGAACCAGCTTTATTTTGGCTTCCCCTTTCTCTCTCTATTTTTATTGGAATTAACAGCATCCTGTGCCTCTGCTGTCTGATATTTTTTAAAAAAAAACCTTTAAAACACCTTAATACTCCTTTTGATGTGGATTTCAGTAGCTGAATGCTTCATGCACTCCTACTGTTGCAGGTACTGTATCCTTGCTAACAGCAGCAGCCCAAATATTTTCAAATGGATTCCTGTGCTGTTCCCAGCCCAATTCCTGACCTGTTCCAACCATGTCAGGACACACTACATCCTATAATGCGATATGACCTCTCACAGAGCTCCTCTCTAATTTATGTGCACCCTGACATATCAGCTGTAGTGGAAAACACTGGACACGTGGGTTTACTTACAGTTATGACATGTAGGTCCCATGTAGCCTGTGTCACTACAATCGCAGTAAAAGGTGGTCCAGGACTGAGAGCATTTTCCTCCATGTTCACAGTAGTTGGGTAAACATCTAATTGGAGACAGTTTTTTTAAAAAATGCAATTAATTATAAACATTTCTGTAGAAATAATTATAAAATTGTCTCAATTCCTCATTCAAGCAAGAGTTTCCTAGTGCTGGATCACTGTAAAATATTTGAAATAATTACTTATTCCTCCGTTTTGTGACTCATGTCAAATACAAGCACTGAAGACACCAACATTTAACATATCCAGCAAGTAGGATAAAGATCACTTTCAATAGAAACATTCCACTTGTCCTCCACTTTTTAGCAATTAAAGTGTCACAAACTTTCCAAACACAGAGAAGGACAAGTAACAGGTGAAAATGCTATTGAAATCTTGTTTCAAAGGAGAATCCCCTGTTAAGCAGGCATCATTGTTACCAAAATTTGGCTGAGTTACATTTGTGGTAACACAAACAGCGTGAAAATCTCAGAAGTGAGAGGAAAAATATGCTTCAATTATGAGTTCTGTAATCTCTCTCCCTCATTTTAAAAGTGTTATTGTGAAGCAACTTATTAAAAGAAGAAAGAGGCACAACAGCATGCAGCTTGGGAAGGGAATAGAAACAAAAGCTGTGGGAGAGAAATTCAGTCTCCAGGACAAGAAGTGAATGCTGATCTGAAACTACACTGGTGCAAACGGCAATGCAACGGCGTTACATCACCCTAAGTGGAAACAGAGATTGCTCCACTGTTTGCCTTTCCTTTCCTTCTCCACCCCCACTCGCCTGACTGCATATTAGATAATCTCTTTTACACTGCATGTTTGACTTCTGAAAAACGACTAACTTGTTTATACCACTGATTCCATTGTGATGGGTGGGTGGATAGAAAACAGGCAATCAATTTAGCTCACACACACCAGCACTCCATTAGGGCTTGCTTTGCTGTAAATTGAGCTTCAAAATCCTTTTTATGGCCCAGATTTTTCAGTGGTGTCAGTGAAGAAGTCACTGAGGCTATCTACATTTGGGCTAGCTGAAGACATGATGGTTTTGTAAGCCTCATCCTTAGGAAATATTTTTGCATTCAAGTGTGCGTATTGCCTTTACTGCGGCTTTCAGCCTGTTTCTTCTAGAATCCTTACATTTAAAACACACTTCACGTGTGCAAGCTGAAAACCTGTATGTCACTAATGGTCATAATCTTCACCAGTCTCCCGAGCCCCACTGGCCAAGCATTATTCAACTTATTTGAGTCCAAGGCTGCTTAGAGCTGCTGAGCACTGACAACTCAAAGAAACATGGATATGTGCATAGAGGCCAATCAGACTAAACTCTTGTCCTCATTACGCTGTATGCAAGTACGAGGATATGCAAGAACTCAGCTTCATCCGATCGCTGTTTATACTATCGTACATAAAATTATAAAGATCATATAAAAATGCTAATATGAAATATTAATTCATTTTATTAATGCTTACTTGTTATAGTCATATTATATATTATTCAAGTATTAGAGACATAAGAAATTCGAGAAGGAAGCATGTTATTTATAACTATCTGTAACATCTGTTTAAACAATTATAAGACATATTGGTCTTAAATTCACTGTTACGGCTTCTATTAATCATTGGGCTCAAATACAAAATAAAGAGAATAGGAAATGTATGCCTGCTTTTCCAGCTCACCAGGGAGCTTTTTTCCATGCTATAGAGAACACCTTCTTTCTAAAACAAGAACGAAACAAATGGGACAGCCAAAACTGTTGGTTTTGCCCCATCCTTAGAAGGTGGGAAGTCTGAGAAGGGATGAGATTTTGGCTTTTAACAGTATGCTGGGAAATCACCTAACAGAGCCTAACACCCTGCTGGTACAGGGACAGCCCAGCCAGCCCCTCTGCCGTTATATCTACTCCCGGCTATGGGGAAGAGGGATTTAGAGGCTTTCGATCGATGCTGAAGAAAGCAAGAGCAGCCTATAGGGTGACAAAAATGGGACTGGCTGACTCATGATCTGTACCCAGCTATGCTCTGCAGGCCCATGCCAGCTCCCTTAAATCAGCAACTCCCTCAAACCAGCAACTCGCCAGCAGCCTCGTCCCAGAGGCTGCAGAAGCAGCACAGTGATTCAACAGCTCTATGACGATACATATGAATTTTGACTGTAAGAGCAGATGTGCTCATCTCTGTGCTTTAGTCGTGCCTGCCCTTGCCCTCAGCATACTGCCTTTACTTCTACCTGCTATTTGGTGATAACAATTCACTTATGTCACCTGTACAATAGCAGTACTTATATTCACATCACAGGAGTGCTGGCGACAAGAAACATCTGATGTTAATAAAGCTCTTTGGAAAGGTAGAAAGAACAGTACTGTGTTATTATCATAATTTACATCACCAATGTAATGGACAAATATGCTTTCTGCCTATTTTAAGCTACATTTTATTAATTAACCCAATGCAGTAGAGCTAATTACTAGTCATTTGTGGTTTGCCAAAGGTTCGTATCAGAGGCTTAGCCACATCTATTCCCTTAAAACAGTTTGCTTTTAAAGGCTTTACAAAGTTGAAGGTCACTTCTCATTTCTACTTGTCTTACAAATACAGGCACTTTTTCTTCCCCCAACAACGCACAAAATGGAAGTCGAACTACCCACGTAAGCTTTTAATGATATTCATAAATTCAGAATTAAACCTTTTTTATTCCTTAGTCTACTTTCTTTAATTAGCACCAACCACATTGATCTTGGTTTTGGTCAGATAACTAACCCTTCTAAGAGCTTATGAAACAAATTTCTTTGCAAGTCTAATAATTACCATAATCCCATTCTAGCTGAGCAGTTGTGTCTTCATTAGAAGCAAAACTTATCCTAATTGTCAGCAAACTCAAAATTAAGAAATAGCTATGATTAAAATTAATCAAGGCATGGATAAATCACAGGTAGTTCCATTTGCTGCCGTGGATCCTCATGTTGATGGATTTCAATACATATAATTTAAAATATAAATTAATATTTTCATTCTAGTAAAATCAGTTTGAGCAAAAAATGCAGTGGTATCACAGAAGGTTTCAAAGACAAAAATTTGCAGCAGACAGCCCCTGACCTATTTGCAACTGAAATGAACAAACAGATCAACTCAATTTTTGCAAGTATCATAAATGGGACAGTTTGAAATTTAATGATCTGCCTAAGACAGTATGTGACAAACTAGGGACTCTGATCTTCCAGGTTCCAGATTAATTCATAGAATATATCATGGTGAATGAATCTTATAAAAAACACAAATGAAGCAAAGTTTTCCCTCCTTCATCCAAGCTGGAAAACACACAGCTTAGCCATCTAAGTGAGCTATATGCAGAGCCTGCACAAAAGCATTTACTGTCCTCAGGTAAAATATTCACCTACAAAACTGTGTGCTTCCTTTGAACTCAAAGGACAAACTGCACAGACTTTGCAGGGCAAAATTTGGCCCTTTGATAGGGATGATGAAGAAATAGCAATGATAATTACTTGAGTGGGAAGGCTGAAGGAGTTCTACACATTTGATGTTACACTTGACTGGAAACAAACCCAGTACTTTCAATAAGCACCTCTCAGATTTTGCTACAGTCAGCACAACACATCCTGTCTGCACCACTCTATTCTTCCTAAATAAAGAAGGAAAAAAGAGAACTACCAGAGACAAAGAAAAAAGGAGCATACCCCCTCAGTATTAAGACTGTCGATATGCATCATTTTGTGACAACTAAATCCTTAAAATTCAACGACATAACAGTAAAACACATGACACTTAGAGGTTTTTCTATCAAGAAAGCATTTGCCTACATATTAACTCAACTCCATTTTATTTCAGCAAGTTTTCCTATGTATGGGCTGCAGCTATTTCACATATAATTAACAAAATACAACATTATCAGGGATGACTTAATATAGTAGGATGCACATATGCTGAAACTCATGGTCTTACTGTAACAGCCTACGCTTTGCTTTGGTAAAATGGTGTCTTTCCACTAAAATCAGTAGATTGATGCCAATTGCAACAGCATGGAATTCTGCCCTTCCCTGCTGAGACATAAATTTGTGGAATTCCTTTCCAAAGGTTATTTTGAATACAAGAAATGGGTTCAAGGGGCAACCAGACAAGTGTTTCAAAGAGAAATCCACCAATGTTACTACATAGCCAATGTGTAACAAGTTGAGGGATTTACCATGGGGAAAACAAATCAAGATCAAAGAGCTTTACAAAAGAAAGTACCCCAGGACCACACCCCACACTCATCTTCCCCTGGATGTCCATCTGTGGCAAAACAGTGGCCTAGGTCTCCTTAACTAAAGGCAGAAGAGAACTACCAGAACCAGAGGGAGGAAGGGAGAAACGGTGAGTAAAAACAATATTAAGACAGGCTGCAAAGGTCTTAACACTCTCCAGATCTTTCATTTTCCTCAGGGTACGTTGCCTCCTCATCACCGCACATCCCAACTTCTCTTTCCCCTTGCAACTTTAAGAAAACTGAATAAGAGTGTTTCAAAAGTGTTGGAGTATACTTCAGTTTTTTCTTTTTTAATTCATCTACATTTTCTTCCCTAAATACACTGTGTTAGAAGTCATGGCACACAGAACTTGACTAACACAAAGACATGTTTTTCTTTTTCATGCTGGAAATCATTTACTCTATCACACTGAATAGATATTAAAAAAAAAAAATCTAAATTAGAAAAGTCATTTTTGGTCATTTTAGTAATTTTTCACAAAGGTTGTTTTTTCTTTTTTCTGAGATATGCAAAACTTGATGACTGGACTTTTAAAATATATTATTATTTCCATTGTTGGTGACCTTCATTCTCAGGTGCTGCACTTGCATACCACTGGGAGACCAACATTTAGAAGATCTGAACACTGATGCTAACTGTCCTCAGGGATGTGGCTGGGACAGAACTGTGGGAGGAGGTTGTGCTGGAATCGGCACAAGTGAAGGGAAAAGAGACTGTTATCTATGCCTTAGATAAAAGGCATTTTTTTAAGGTTTGATCGCTTTGTTGTTAGAACACCTACATTTTTAATA